ACAGGCCAATCTTCCTAAGGAACATAGATACAAAACTCCTCAATAAAATCTGGCAAAAAGAATGCAGCAAATCATCAAGAAGATTATACACCATGATCGAGTTGGTTTCATCCCAGGGATGCAGGAATGATTCAACATACACAAATCAATAAATGTAACAGAGCCAAAGACAAAAACTATATGATCTTCTCAAGAGATGCAGAAAAAGCATTTGACAATGTCCAACACCCGTTCATGGTAAAAACCCTACAGAAAATTGGCAGATGGTCTTTATCTCAATCTGAAGAAAGCCATCTATGACAAACCAACAGACAACCTCATTCTAAATGGACAAAAATGCAAAGCTTTTTAAAATCAGGAAGAGGATGTACACCATTCTTGTTCAATACAGTTCTGAACACCAGAGCAATTAGACAAGAGTAAGAAATAAAAGGAATAAGGATAGAAAAACAAAGTTCAATTATCAGAATTTGAGGATGACATGATACTCTACATAGAAGACTCCAAAACCCCACCCAAAGACTTTCAGATTAAACAAATCCAGTGGCATGGCTGGATATAAAGTCATCACTCAAAAATAAAGAGCCTTCCTGTACACAAATAACAGACAGAGGTGGGGGGGGAGAAGGAGGGAGGGAGGGAGGGAGGGGAAGGAGGGAGAGAGAGAGGGAGAGATTAGAAAAACAACCAATTTCACAATAGCATTCAAAAAAGGAAATACCTAGGAATCTATCTAATGAAGGAAGTAAAAGTATAGTTTTCTACATTGAAAACTATAGTCCTCTCAAAAAAGGAGATTGAATAGAATATCAGAAACTGGAAAGATATCCTTGTTCTTGGATAGAAAGAACCAATACAGTGAAAATAAATGCCCGTCAGCTGATGAGCGGATAAAGGCGATGCGGGTTTTTTTTTTTAATACAATGGAGTACTGTTCTTCCACAAAGAAGGATGAGCTTCACACATTTATAGCTACATGGATGGACCTTAGAGCATACTCCAAAGTAAATAAATGGCACACCCGTGTTGAAATACCGCCTTGTTTTTCTGGTGTGAGAAACCAAAAGTGGAAATAAAAATTCAAAGGTAAGGGAGGGGGTATCACAAGCCCTGACTTTAAATTACACTGCAAAGCTACTGTGATTTAAAAATAAAAAAAAAATTGATGGTACTGGTAAAAGAGTTAAGAGTTTGAAGCACTCTGTATTGGAAAGATCAAGCTTTCAAATGAACTCACCTGAATTAAGACAATGCCTACGTTCTGTAAGAATAATTACTGGCAGAAAGATAGCCTCTTTCATCAATGCTGCTGGAAAAACTGGCTTTCCACATGATGAAGATTGAAATGAGATCTTATCTTTCACCATGCACTAACCTAAAATCAAAAGGGATCAAAGATCTAAATATTAAAACATAAACACTAAATCTTCTGTAAGAGAGACCAGGTAGAATGCTTGAGGACATAGCAATAGGCAGTGATTCCATAAACAAAATCGAGACCACACAGGAAATACTACAAAGCATCAACAAGTGGGACCTCATTTCAAGAAAAGGCTTTTGCACAGCAAAAGAAATCACCCACAGAATGAAGAGACAACACACACCACAGGAAAAAATTTTTACCAGCTATTCATCAAATAAATTTCTAATATTTAGAACATATAAAGAGCTCAAAAAATTAGAACTACCAAATTTAAAAACCTAATCCAAAAATGGGCAACTAAAATGAAAAGACACTTCTCAGTAGAAACAGCAAATAAATATATGAAAAATTGTTCAGCATCATTGGTCATTGGAGAGATGCAAATAAAATGACATTGAAACTCCATCTCATTCCAGAAAGAGTGGCTGCTACCAAGAAATCAACCAATAACAAATGCTGGAGGGGGAAAAGGAACCCTTCTCCACTGCGGAGGGGAGTGTGGACTGGTGCAGCCACTGTGGAAATCTGTGTGGGGATTTATCAAAGAACTAAAACTACAGGTTCCATTTGACCCAGCTTCCCCCTTCTTGTTATCTCCCCCAAAGAATTAAAAGCATCAGATCACAGGGATCCATGAACACCTGCCTTGACGACAGCACAGTTTATAATAGCTAAATCTTGTAAACATCCCAAATGCCCGTCAGCTGATGAGCGGATAAAGGCGATGCGGGTTTTTTTTTTTAATACAATGGAGTACTGTTCTTCCACAAAGAAGGATGAGCTTCACACATTTATAGCTACATGGATGGACCTTAGAGCATACTCCAAAGTAAATAAATGGCACACCCGTGTTGAAATACCGCCTTGTTTTTCTGGTGTGAGAAACCAAAAGTGGAAATAAAAATGAAATGTATAATGGATGTTGGGAAATGGAAAGAAAGTGTTTAAGTGGGGAAGGGGAACCAGAGAGGATGGAGGGAGAGAGAAGGAAATGACTGAAAGTAAATAACTGAAAAGAGAGGAAAATGGAATAAAGCTTTGGTACAGAGGGAGGGGAAGGAACTTCGGGGGATGAAATAAAATTTTAAAATTATTTTAAGACAGAAAGAAAGAAGGAGAGAAAGGAAGGAAGGAAAGAAGGAAACCAAACTAAAACAAAATAAAATTAAAATCACATTCTCCTTAAGAGTTTGAAGCACTCTGTATTGGAAAGATCAAGCTTTCAAATGAACTCACCTGAATTAAGACAATGCCTATGTTCTGTAAGAATGACAGACATGTAACTCAGAACTATTACTACATGTGGTTTCTTAAGTGTCAGTATGTACTCCTTTCAAGTTATTCTTTCAAAACCGAAATAGTACATACTTTACACAGGTGGAATCAATGTACTAAAATTGGCTCACACCATGTGTGTGAACAGGGCGCTCACAGAACACCAGTGAGGGCCACGGGCTGGTGAGCAAGTGCGACCTGTGAAGCGGGCTCAGCTGGACCTTTGCTTACTCTTTCTCTATTTTCCCTGGGTTTACTGTGGAAGCAAACACAGAAGTGCTCAATGTATGAGTGATGAAATCTGTGTGGTATGCTTGATCGATACTTAGTTTAATATTTCACATGGCACCATAGCATTTTTAATGTAAGTAACCCACATTCTGCTGTCTACTACCACCCTGAATTTTAAATGGTATTCCCTGTCTGTGAGTTTTTAACATTTCTGCTCTCCCTCCGTGCCTAACAGTATGGAACCTCACGTGCAGGGGACTGTAATATTGATTATGCCGAAATCAGGCTGTAAACAGTGTAGGCTGCAGAGTTTACCCCTCGATTGGCTTGTTTTGTTTGAGAAGGGAGTCAGACTACCTCGCACATTAATTCCATTCCCACGAATAAAACCTTCTAACCAGAAGGACAATGTTCCAATTGCAACCCTGTATTTTGCCTATTCTGTTCTTAATTTAAGAATGCTTTGTCTCGTCCTTTACAAGCCTTGCCTCCACCGGTTCCACAGAAACCTCAGGACTTCACATCTTCTCACATAGTACCCCTTGTGCATGTAGCTTGCCTTCATCCCAGTTGGTTACTAATAAAATCAGTGGCTTTGCCAATTAAGCAGCACTGGCTGTCCTGCCTCCCCGGTACTCTGTCTCTTTTAGCTCTTTTCCTTGTTTTTGTTTTTCCCTCAGCCTTGCCCCCTAGCACTGAGCAGGAGATAAGAAGCTGCTGGGGAGGTCTCCATACTCCATATATTAAGGGCCAAGAAATACCCTCCTACCCTTAATTTTCAGATGACGATTTTTTAAATATGCAACTGGAAACATTTTACAATATTCTATATTCCATATTTATATGGTTTGAATTGAAAGTGTATACATTTTACAGAGAAGTATCACAAAATTTTTTGCCACATCCTCCTAAATCTGGACAAATACCATTTCTTACTTTGAAGATAGATGAAAGATTTGCGCTCCTATCGACAGCCATCTTTTAGCGCTGGGGAGGTGCTTGCCCTAAAAAATTTTTTAAATGAAACCACTTTGAACCTATTTCATTATATTCTTTTCACCACCCAATTCCACATTCTTGAACAGGAAAACTTTATTGTGTATGTGTCTGCTAACAGACTGCTCAGATGGGCTCGCTACTAGTGCGAT